AAACGAAAGATGAACAACTAAACAAAAACAGGTTAATAAAAAAGTACCGTCTTTTTTGACGGTACTTTCCTCAAGGGCTAAACGATTTTTTTTTTATTCCTTGGTTAGGTTATTATCTTAATGTTCTTTTCATTCTACTACGGATAATGGATTTTTTATTTTTTCAGTTTTCCGGCTTTTTTTTTTTTTTTTTTTTGTCAACTTTTATTTGTTTATTTTGGCATTAGGCTTTAAACGATATTTATTCTCCGCCATTTTCCTATTCTGTTCGCGAATATTCCCGCCTAAAATACATATGCTGAAACGAAAATGATCTGCCGTTTTGTTCGGCTTTCGCGCCATTAGTTGATCAGTTTATATTATCAGACACATATCCTTCGCCTTCAAATTCTTTTTTCATTGTCGCCATCAATGTTAGTCCACTCTTATCTCACTAGAGATTTACCTGAGTCCATAAATAGCTACATGTATGTATGGTGAAACAAATCTGACAATATATATATATATATATATATATATATATATATATATACACACACAAACACATAAGCATGAAGACAGACACAAACAACACACACACACACACACACACACACACACACATATATATATATATATATATAAGGGTCTGCAGTGCATGTTGAATATCTATATTTATAAACACACCATTCCCTATATTGAGCAATCTTCCTCTATAATTATAGTAAGTTGTAAGCTATATATATTAAATTTGGGAATATATATATATATATATATATATATATATATATATATATATATATATATATATATATATATATGTGTGTCTTAATTATTTTCAGATGGATTGTATCGGTAAAGGAACGAAATGAATAAAAAGAGGAAAAACTATTCTTAGTCGAGGCATTACAGAGATAGTTTCTGGTTAGCAAGGTCGAATTATTGCTTTTAAGCTAAATGATATAGCCCGTCAGGTTATTGACGGTTTCGTGTACGATAAAGGTTCGATTCCTGCCGAAGAACTCATATTTTCGCGGATATTCAGGCTAGTAAATGTTGCTAATGCTGTTTATTTAGAAAAAGATCATTCACTTAAATATTTTCCATAAACATAACGTATAAACAATAAATATATTAAAATAATTGTCGGACTTATACCATTTCATAACGTGCACACACACACACACACACACACACACACACACACACACATATATATATATATATATATATATATATATATATATATATATATATATATATATATACTACTGATAATGCAAGACTCTACAACCGGATTCAGTTCTCTAGGTCACTGGCATGTTTATGAAAAAATAAATACACAAAAATTCGCCTCTCTGTCGGGTGCCTATAGCCTAGGGGTTAGAATCTCTGACAGATGCCAAATCTGTCGGGTTTTGGATCCGGCTTGAAGTGATCGGGTGTCTAGTCACACTGATGAGCAGTGATACAGCGAAACAGTCTATCTGTGGATGACTATATATAAATATATAGTCATAAAATGTGGGACTACCCACTTAATGTAATAATTCAATGCCGTCTTTGTTTCATTTGACTCCTACTTATCTATGATGCAGAAATTATTTTCCCCTCATCTAAATTAGGTCGTTAGTTAAATGTTAAACTTTGCCCGTGATAAGATTACAATTAAACACTGACTTTTATGAAGAAAAATAAACATCATATAGTCATAGGTTAGTTTTTTTATGATTATTATTATCATTGGACGTATGATTTTCTTTTACAATAATATTTACCCTGTACAAGGCCAAGAGGTCACTCAAGATGGAGGGTTACAGAGTAAGAGGCAGAGTTTAAGCGGATATGTGGGGGAAGATAACTGTTGACTCTAGGTATGAACAGGTTAAGAATATAGTGATTGAAGAATCATCCGTTTGGCAAGCACTGACATGAATCAGTGGTTCGTGAGAAGAAGCAGCTCGAGTGCAACTTACACCTCACCAATTGAGTAAGAAGGGAATGAGGGTGGCCCACTACAATGGGCGTGGCATGGTGGGTTTTAGGCGTGAAGATTAGCAGTGGTGCAACTAAGAAATGTTGTGTGTCTAAACACTTTCCATTGAACAACGAGAGACTTGCAATGTTTCGTCTATGAGAAAAGTGTTGCAGGGTGAATAAAATATTCAGGAAGAGAAACTCCATATGGCCCGATGTAAACAAGTAAATTAGATTTGAAATGGTACGGAACCTTCAATTTTTACAAGCATTCAATGAAATCCAGACTGTGGCCCAAACAGTTGGCCAATAGATAGATAGATAGATAGATAGATAGATATCAAGAGAATGAGATGGATAAAGAGATAGATAGATAGATAGATAGATAGATAGATAAATATCAAGATAATGAGATAGATAGATAGATAGATAGATAGATATTAAGAGAATATGATAGACATTAGAGAATAAGATAGATAGATAGATAGATAGATAGATAGATAAACATAATCTAATAGATAGATAGATATCAAGAGAATGAGAT